ATTTCACAACATTCTTCTATTTTTAAGAAAACAAAGAGGTAGCCTCAAAGGTATATGGTAAGGGTTAGGAACTATAGCAGAGTTAAAAAGAAGAAAAAGTGAATCTAATTTGAATTCAGTTCCCATCTTTTTGAAAAGCTATGAAACAAGGCGCGAAGAAAAGAGCTCTGAATATATCTTAATAAGCCGTGTGGAGAAAACGTCCTGCTCACACCTCATTATCTGTACTTGCTGTTATAATCAGCTACACTGTTCCTGTTAGACGTCAGATCTGTTTTTGCCACATTTTTACAACATCACAAAAGTATGACTATAATTAAAAAGGTGATGAAAACTAATGGATGTAACAGGATGTGTTTATCCTTCTCTTGACATCAAATACTAAAAATGTCTGACACTGCTCTGATGTTTCTTTTAAATATCTCCTACAGCTGTAGATTTGGTTTATAACCGGCTAAAGCATTTTTCTTGATCACTTCATCTGAAAATACAGACATGGATCTCATGCTAGACTTTTATTTGTTGATTTTTCCTCTGCTTTTAACACAATTCAACCTCATATTTTAATTGGCAGACTTTTAGAACAATTTGAAATAAGCAATAATCTTATGGGCTGGTTTCTTGATTTTTTAACCAATAGCACACAAAGAGTGAGGGTGAATGGGACCTTATCTGATCAAGTCAGCTCCTCCACTGGCCCCCCACAAGGACGTGTCATTTTGCCACTATCATTTATACTTTACACTAATATGTGTCAAAGTAGGTGGGAAAATAGGACTATTTTTAAGTATGCAGATGACTCTGTAATTGTTAGTAGGCTCCAGGACAATGAGACCAGCCACTGCCCTGTCATTGACACCTTTGTCAGGTGGTGTGAGGAGTCCTATCTACAACTGAACATAAGCAAAACCAAGGACATGATCATTGATTTTAGAAGACATTCCCACATACATGAAGTCTTAACAATCCAGAATCAGAAAGTAGAATTTGTGCAATCATACAAATATCCAAACTGTGAAGCTGTGTGCAAAAGGGGGCACCAGTGTTTGTACTGTCTTAGGAAACTGTCCTATTTTAGCATTGACAAAACCATGGTGATCATGTTTTATCGAGTCAATTCTGTCTTTTTCAGTAATGTCATGGTTTGGTAACCTGACTTTAAAGAGCAGAAACTCTCCGAGTCAGATCGTAAAGTGGTCCAGCACACTGATTGGTGAGCCACAGCTAAACCTGGAGACCCTTTACCTCAGGCAGTTACAGCGGTTATCCAGCTCCATGTTAGACGATGACTCCCACCCTCTGCACTCAGAATTCAAGCTTCTTCCTTCGGGCCGGAGGTTACTCGTCCCAAAGAGTAGAACGAAGCGGTATAAAAACAGTTTTATCCCAGCAACTATTGCACAAATTAACACATCATAGGAGTGTCACACAGGTGCCTATTTTTATTTATTTATTTAATTGTGAATTTTGAATGGCCATGTTTGTCCTAGTGTTTTCCTTCTTAAAATGTTTTTGAAACATTTTGAGATTTGGTTGAGCAGGGTATACTTGTACTTTTTACTAGTCCTTTTTTTAGAGATGTGTCTGTTGTTTGTGTTTGTTTTCAGAGTGTGTCAGGATGGATCCCTTGTGTCTTTTTCATCTGCAAACAGAATCTACCTACGGGTACAAATAAATAACCGAATGAACCTGATATGCATGCGACACAGCTGTATGGCAGCTGCTTATTGTGTCATTATACGCACTGTCATGAATGTAAAAAGTGACATGATATTACTGACATGGACAAGTCTATGCATCAGACAGTAAGGCTGTCTATTGCCTCCTCGTCATCATTTTAATGCACGTCTTACTTATAATTGCAAACCCTGCATCCAGAGTAAAGGATATTCTAATTGCTGCTCTAATACCGACCTATTGCACGTTTCCATTGTTTACTTTCATCTGATTTATCCGTGCGTCGTATGAGGTTCGGTTACGCATCTCCTGTATGATGTGCGGGACTAAGACAGATTTGAAATACACATAAGATGTGAGTCGAGGTCATCAGAATGTAGTGCTTATGAGAATCCTCCTGTGATGTACAGGCAACCGGTTTACTGCTAGTGTTCTCATTGACATGACTATAAGTACCGTAATTATCGGCAGTAATAATGGACTCCAGAGTGGATCTGACGCGAGAGTCTCCGTCTAGTGGATGATCTAGGTGCTTGACCCTCATGACTGAGGGCCATAGATCACTTCTAGTGCCAAAATCTGATTTAAAAACATTTAAAAAAAGATGTCTTAGTTTCTATTTTCATTTTTTATACAAATAGCTTGAATTCAAATTGTATTGAAAATACAGTTCAGCATAAATAAACTCCGTGGGGTCGAATCTGCTTATCTAGTAATATTTGTATGGAGAAGGGCTAAATGAACAGAGTCATCTCTGTCGAGGTGAAGACAAGCGAAGCTGATTGGTCGGGTCCAGCTGTAGTACCTCAACGAGAGAGTAATGGTAAAATGACAAGTACAATTGACCACATATATCCCCTCTACAATGGGTGGGTTTTACTCAGAGTGGCGGAACCCCTCCCCCTTCCGGTGGACCTCCACGGGACCTTAGTATCTGGAAAATATGTATAGGGGGGGGGGGGGGGGGGGGGGGTGAAGTCAATGGGGAGAGAAAGATTATCTTTCGATCCCCGTTGAATTGTGCTCACAAATTACACATATTAATGTTTAGGTCAATTAAAAGATAATTTTGCTAGTCAAAAAAAAATGTGTCGTAAAAACTGTGAAGTTACACCATTTCTTTGTGTGAAGTCGCATCAATGAACTAACAACTCTGGTCTTGCAGTCACCAACACCAATATTGCCGTCACGTTTGTTACATTTCACCTCTTTCTTTTCAGAATNATGAAAAGATCTTAAAATCAATACAAATGTATTTATTATAAACGTTAGTCCTTAACATCTATCCCTGTGTATATCACCATTCAAACATCTTTTAAAAGTTGAACAAACCCCACACAGCTCAGTAAAGACTGTGAAATGTTGACTTTATTTGATCATTTGAGTAAAAACTAACGTTCATATTTCTCTTTTTGATTATAATACTGATGAACGTTCAAACCAAAGCACTTTGGCAAGTTACCACATACGTTTTAAAATGCTTAATAATCACCATAACTTTCATGATATCATTTCTCTGTCATAATCGGTTGTTTCCGTCAACGGCCGACTGTTGTGTGACGGTAAATGCTGCAGCTACAAGGCATTGTGGGGCAGCATTTTCTCCTTCCGGTAAGGGAGGTCCAGTGGTTCCTAAGCTAAAGAAGGTTATAAAGGAAGTTTGAAACCTCCTTTCCTATCATCTAGAGAATTAGAACGGCACTTATCATGGCTGCCACTGAGGGACTTCCGGGTCATTTCACTTTGTTAGGAAGGTTCCTAAGCTAAATGGACTATTCGACTTCAGCCCCAGTGTTTGTTTTTACTGTGTGTCTCTCTCTCTCTCCCCCCCCTGCTGGTCTGCTCTACACGGCTGGGAGCAATCTCTAATCAACCACACCTGCAACCTGCTCATCAGTCACTATGAAAGCCTGCAGCCTGCACTCATTCCCTGCCGGATTGTTGCCGTGAACAGTTTGATGCGTTATCAAAAACATCTTAAGAAGGTTATCACCAAACATTTTAAGAATGTTTTTAGAGAACGTTATCCTACCTTTCAGAAGAACATTCTGGGAACCAAAAGAAAACTTCCCGCTGAAAACATTCCTAGAACAGTGAATAGTAACATTCTCAAAATGTTTTCAGAACCAAACATTTCTAGCTGGGTCTGACGCTCTGCTCATGAACTTTGCATAGCATTCCTCGTAGGATTTCTTGAGGTCAGGACGGTTCAGAGCTCATCCAACATCTCAATCATTACACTCAAGACTCTTGGTATGCGCCCCTGGTAGCAAATTAGCCTCTGAATAATTGAGCTAATTAGGCTTAGACAGACAATAGCTAAATGTTAATTAGTGCCTAATTAAGAGAAATGAATCCACAGCTGTATTTGTTTTCTGTTATCCATAGTGCACTTGCAACATAACAACTCCCTTGTCAGTGTGATACTAATTGAAATGATTCTAGATTCATGTTGTGTGACTGACAGCGCGTTGTGATTATATTGCGCATCTTGTTTTTCGGCTTTGCATGCTTGGTACCGCGGTAAGCCGAAGATAATAACCAAAGACAATCTGGTTAAAACAAGTTCACGGATGGCATGCAACCCATTAATTAAAAAACAACACACCTCGATGTATCATACTTTAGCACCGGGGGAAGCTTCACATAAATCAGTGAAGACTCACTTTGGAATATTTATGGGGATATGTTATCAAGCGAGCTCCTTCTCCTCCTATGATATTCACTACCAACTACAACTCTTTCCACCACTGCCTGTAACGAGATCATCTTAAAGGTTGCTGCAGATCAGTGTAATCGTTCTGCCAATCAAAATACTGCCTTTTCATGTTTTTATCAACATTCACTCACCAAAAAACATGTTTCCTGCCAAAACAGAATCTTGTGGGATTGAAAAATATTAAATGCTGCCATTTGTAATAAAAAAGTGCTTACATTTTCATAACTTAACTGTTGTCATATGAAAGAAACTGCTTTAACAAACAGACTCACACAGCTTAGGTTGATATGCTGTAGCTGTTCCAACTTCCTGGTTTGATTGTGAAATGAAATTGACCCTAAATGAGACCATTTACAGTTTTTACAACAATGCCACTTGTTTGCAATCCTGGTTATTTTAAAAGCCTATTTTTCCAGATCCATTATTAGTGTACCGCTGGTGCATTTCTTCAGAACAGCGGTAAGACGGACGTGAAATTTTTCTTACAGCTTGCAGGACAATGAGTGGAACCGTATGTCATTACATTCTGCTTTCTTATTCCTGGGAAACTAAATTGCCTCGCATTGTATCATATTCTTTTGTGCTCCTGTTTATAGCTACTTACGTTATACGTCTCCAGCTTGACTCGGTTTCTGAAGATGTGGGTTGTAAAGTTGGCTTTCTGAAAGACTTCATCGAATGCATTCTCGTCCTCAGGAGCACGCAGACAAAAGAAAGACAAGGTAAATACAAAAGCATTGGCAACGGAAGCAGTCTGTTACAGTTAGACCTCCTGAAAAAATGTGTTAAAGTAATTTTCTTGTCAGATGGGAACAAACTAGTGAGAGGAGTGTGTTGTAGCATAGCGTGCGTGTGTGTGAGAGTGTGTACGTATGTGTGTATGTGTATGTGTGTGTGTATGTGTGTGTGTGTGTGTGTGTGTGTGTGTGTGTGTGTGTGTGTGTGTGTGTGTGTGTGTGTGTGTGTGTGTGTGTGTGTGTGTGTGTGTGTGTGTGTGTGTGTCTCTCACTGTGTCTCTGAGCTGTCCCAGTGTTTCTGCACTGTGACCTAACAGGGCCTCAGCTGTCTCCTGGAAGCATGTCACCCACTGGTTATCCCCGAAGTCTGCTAAGTTGGCCTGAGTGTCAGACAGAGAGGATGAAGGGGCGAGAGATTATTCATGTGTGTGAATATGTGTTATTGGAGAAGTCCCTCAAAGTCAACGGCACTGCATGTGTGATAAACAAGCGTTAATGATGTACACTTTGAGCTTACATTAAGTATGAGTCGGTATTTGAAGTTGGGGAACTCTCGGCTACACTTCTCGCAGCGGTACAGTCCGTTCTGTTGGTCGATCACCTTCTTGTTGCAGTCTTCAGTGGGACAGGCCTGGTACAGACAGTTCTCCTTACGAGTGTACAGGACCGTTGCCAGGCAGCTGAAGTAGTCAGCCTGGGATGAGAGAACAAAAGCGGGAGAAGAGGACATCTTATTATGGGGACAGAGCTTTGAGATGAATGAAAACGACCAAAATCTAACTCCTGCAATTTGAACGTCTAAAAGGCTGTTATTCATTTTGCAGGTGCTACCCCCTACACAATGTGCAAGGACAAATCTAACCTGCAATTCAAATGCCACACGGAAATATCTAAGCAGATAAACACTCATTTAATTATAGAAATGTATGTGCTGCATTTGTTCATCTTATTTTACACATGGTAAAACCCTGTTGCTCCTGCATGGAGAATATGAATGTGGATGTCTGGTCAAACGTCATGACACCTTTACACAATGTTTGAGGTGAACTGCATTAAATGTTTAATTTCGGCAACCAAGCCAGATCCCAGCGCAGTCAACATGTCGATGTATCCTTGGGCAAGATACTTAACCCTGAGTTCCTGTTGTGTGAATGTTAGTTCCTATAGCAAGGTGCAGTGATCTGTATGAATGGGTGAATTACTTGAAGTATGTAAAGTGAAGGGTTGTAAAGACTGGATTTAACGTTATATAAATACAGTCCATTTACCATTTACCAGGGACATTTCTCCAACTGGAGCTTTGAGAAATACTCTGTCCTTTCAGGTTTAAAATGAATGGGTCTGAACAAGACACATCATCAGTGTTTGTTATGCGGGGGGATACATCTTGGTAAAGGAACAAGGTGCCATGTGGCTCAGGCTGTAAGAACACAATGAGTAATCACCAGTACAAGGAACAAAATCACAAAACAGAGGTCGGGTACGATGAGCTATTTTAGAACATGCAACACTTTTAACACCTTTCTGTTCTGGCTCAACAGGAAGCTGTCCTGAAAAACGCATTTCTAAAGGGCGAAGAAACATCTGTAATAAACGTTGTGTTAGGGCTGCTCAATTCATCGTATTTGAATCACAATTACGATTTTGGCTTGCAACGATTATGAAAACAACATAATCGAAATAAAACGATTATTATTTTTTATTTAAAAAGATTTTTTTTATTGGTTTTTCAGTTGAATTATACTTAAAGTTCAGGGTAATCAACTGTTAAAAACATACTGTTCACATTAATGGATAATCGTTTTTAATAATCGTGATATCAATTATTGACCCAAATAATCAAGATTATGATTTTTGCCATAATCGAGCAGCCCTACGTTGTGTTGTCAATCATAGTAAGGCAACGGAGTAACAACTGGCCATGTGGCTTTAATGACCATCAAGTAGTGTTGGGCGAGGTACTCTGAATAAGATAATTCTACCATCAGTACAGAAAGAGTGCAGGAAATTAATTGCCCACATGTGCACCATGTCTGCGTTCAAATATTGATCTTATCATGGCTGCCATTACATTTGGTATTCTTAAATCATAACTTTGCAACGTACATGTTAAACCAAAGCCCATCAAGGTCTATGAAATAAACAAAAGGAGTAAAAAAGCTCATTCTAGAGCAGACAGGAAATCCTTCAAGGGTTTTAATTAATTTTAATGCGAATAAATAAGCTGTTTAGGGTGTAAAGAGAAACGTTAAATAAAATGAGAGTAAACTTCGATCAAACTTGGCTTCATCAGTAAAACTGTTGCCAGCGAGTCAGTCCAGCTGGTTGAAGCGCGCTGTTTACACATCTCTATTTGAATTCCAAACAATCTTGGAACGGTTTGAAAAGAAAGCAGGGAGTGTTTGAGAGGTTCTTGCATAATGGATGCAAGATGAGACGATTCTCTCCCTGTCTAATACATAAATTGAGCTAACACACACACACACACACACACACACACACACACACACACACACACACACACACACACACACACACACCTATATGCAAACACCCTAAACTTCTTTCAGTTGTGAATTTCGATTGAAGTGCACACAGTCAAACAGAATCTAATTTCAATCCAGCGAGTCGCAGTAATTTAAACAGATATTAGCACCTAAAGTGGCAGAACTCACACTGTGTAAAATCAACAGCAAAATGCTAATTCTGGGGGAGAAGATGCTATTCTCTCATCCTGTGGAGAGGAACAGCATTCGATTTCCATAAATATAAATATAAAATAATGCATACAGCAGCTGAACCGTGTCTCATTGGGAAGACGCACACTCGTGTACACGCCTGCATTCAAACAGTAACGGTATCTTCTACCAGGAGAGCGGGCCTTGAACAAGATGTTGGAATTACAGCCAGGATTTAAAATGCATTCTAAACAACAACTACAAGCAAGAGCTGGGCCAGACTCATTACTAATGTTGGCCTAAATGAGTCCATCAAAGACTCTCTCTAGGACGCTGGCCAACTTTACACACTGACTGAGCAACGCTGCTTTCTTTAAACAACCCACAAATTCTGTACAAAATTCACAGGGAGCATTTGATATGAAAAGTCCATAGTGTTCTCTGCATCCCCTGTGACATGTTTGATGTTGTCCCCTCGACCTCTGCAGATACTTCCGTCAGACTCGGAGCTATCTGACACTGTGTTCCCGCTAGCCATCATTGACTCACATCCTCATAATCTGTCCATCTACCAGAACCCATGCCACACAGCAAGGACCCCTCAGAAACACTTACTAAGAAGGTTTTTTTAATTAGGAGAATGTCTCCCTTAAGCAACAGCCCTCTCCCCATCATCACTGCTCTCCCATGCTTCCGCCCGCATGCCTGCCTCATCACATTTTGCAGACATGGGCAGATTGAAGCGCTAGAAGGCTGAAGAGGTGGCGAGGCGGTGGGGGGGGGAAGGTGGCAGGAGGGTGGACGCGGCACGCGGCAGGAAGAACACAACGCCTTGTTCTGGGGCTTGTTGAAGGCTCGGGATGCTGCTAAAGAAAATATGAGGATAACAGGTCGGGAGAATCTGGACCATAGTGCTTCCATCATAGTGACTACACCCCTCCGAATAAATCCCTCTGCAATTGTCATCCTCTCTGCTGTTCTTCTTCTGTTCTTTTTTTGTCACCTTCTGTATTCTAGCGTGCATATCGAAGCCTTGGGGCAAAATATTAACCTTTAGAACACCGAGAAGAAACTAGAGGAGCAGCACGACTAACGCTGCACACAATCAACTATCAGAGACAAAAATATCTGTGCAGACTCACCTGAAGATTCACACACACCTCTAACATTCTGTAAATAGTTTTCATTCTTATCAAAGCAAATCCCTATGTCACCTTCTGGCACTTAAATGCAATTAAAATGTGTATGTGAAAGGGCAACCAAGTGAAAATCTGCTTCACATAATTGACGTGGCTGTACATGCCAACTTTAATGCTTGTCCGAAAACCCCAACATTAATTAGAAGTGACACACACACACACACACACACACACACACACACACACACACACACACACACACACACACACACACACACACACACACACACACACACACAGAATGTCCTTCAAAGTATAATCACTTGGCTTCCATTGTTATTACCGAAGCTGCAGCCTCAGAGTTTGATTGACAACCTCCTTAAAGCCGTTCAATTACAGAAACGGTTGGAGAGGGCAGAGAGAGAAAAATAAGAGAAGACTAAATGAAGGTAAAACTAAATGAAGGTAAGACCCAAAGAGAAAGAGAGGAGCGAAATCAGAGTTTGAATTATTAAAACATTCTCAGCTCTCAACTATTTCCCACACAACTGCCACTTAGCTAACTGTTCCTATCCTTTTCTAAATACCCCTCGTCACTTCTCTCTTTTAGCCTTCACACTGTTTTAACTTTTTGTTTTTGTTCTCCGTGGCCTTGTTTCCTTACATCCTGCTACACAGGTTTGTGAGTCACATGAATTTTAAGTGTCTAGATTTCCTTCCCGGCTCTCACTCTCCCACATTCTCCGTCCGCACCACTTCCCTTCTGGTAATGTTATGCCCTATAGGCTTCCTCAAACTCCAACATATAATTAGACATTTTCATTAGAAACGACATTGATCTTGAAGCTACCCCTAAGTGGCTTCTAATTAAACGTGAGGGATGAGGGAGACTAGCCGGAGATAAACCTAATTTATTAGATAGAAGGTTTATGAGTGGCACGTACCATTACATTGCCTTTACTTTTAGTGGCAGCCTCGCATAATTCTGTACAATGACATTTCTTAAAATGGCACAAGGTTTCATTTATCACATGCCCCTCCGGCATATGGCAGTTCAACCCCGTACTGCTAATATGTGAGCATCACTATCTCCCTCCCACTGCTAAAACAGGAGAACCATGACTCTAATCCGTCAAGTCGTAAAAAGACACGGCCTCCAACTGCTCTATTTACAATGAAAGAAGACTGGCTGTGGATTTGAGTTTGGCTACATGCTTACATTCAAAAGGAGGCTGACTAAAATCCTGACTATTCACAGAAAATCTTCTTTTTAAAGTGGACCTATCATGCTATATTTGAATAATATAGTGTAGGACCATACCTATATAAGGCATATTTATACTTTTTATTTTTCAAAATACCAAACAGATCATGCATTTTAGCCATTCCTCATTTCGCTCAATTTAACACTGTCTTTGCATGGGCTGATTCTGTGAGAACAGCACCATCTACAGGCCTGGCATATGTACTACAGCGTCTCCAGCGCTTTCGAACGGCAATGTCCGTGGCTGTCTCCTCCTGATTGGTGGAGTTGGCCCAATAGCCGTAGCGCCACTTCTGTGACGTCATAGAAGTGTTCAAATCTGGATCAGTATGCATTTTGCATGATAGGTCACCTTAAAATAAGAGGCCATCAATGTAATCTCCATATGGATAAACAATCACTATTCAGCTGTTATATCCTTTGACACGGTGATATTTACCATATGATCTTTCCTAAAAGCCTCAAGTTGAACTCAGCCGTGGGTCACACTGTATATGTAGCTTAAGAAAGCACAAGCCACAGTTACAGCAAGCGAGTGAAATGTGTCAACAAAATGCAAGACTCAAACTCTTGTTGTTTTTAATCCCTCAACATTTGGTTTTGATCCTGTCTGACTGCAAAACAGTAAAGCTGTAACTCTTTGATTTTCAAGGACTGACACCAAAACCCTGTGTTTACTGAGCTCGTCTTACATCAAACTCTGTTCTACTGTCGCTGCGCTGATCCAACGTCAGTTCTAAGGGTTTCTTTCATTTATCTTTAAACAGTAGCCAGCAGGCCAAGTGGGAGAATCTTTTTTTTTTTAATAAACATATTAGTTGCTTCCAGCTAAACCCAGAGATCCAACTAAAACTGCAGCGCAAATACCAATATTTATTTTTTGCTGTTACTTTTCTACCAATTTAACTAAAGACCCCATGTTCTGAGAATAAAAGTTTGAGTGCTTAAACTAATCTAAAACCCAAATAAAAACAAGGTAAACTGTTGGAGTCACGGTTGTTTCCGAGTTTCCATTACGGGTCTTCCTTTCTGATCCTATAATGTGGACTGCACTGAATCATGCAGGTCATAAATCAATCTCAAACCAAAGCCAAATAAACATAAATACTGTAAATGCCAAAACATTCCGTAAAAAGAAGACAAAAAACATTCATTTATAATATCAGTGGATCAACAATCTTCAGATCCATAGAAATATAACTAATTAGCGACAGCCCCATTTCATTTTGATAGTAGTTATCAATCAGAATATAGCATAATATCAAAAGGGAAGGAAAATAAAAAATGTAACCCAAATCGGTTTTATAGTTTCTTTCAAGGTTCAATTTACCAAATGACAAAAAAAAGTGTAATATAGTATTTAATTGTAAGTATTAATTTGATATGGCGGGGTTTTATATTTTTCTGCCTCTGGTGTAATGTGGGTGAACTTCTCCTTTGAAGTCACTTTTTCTTTCTCTGTTGAAGGTCAGCAGGTTTAATATGTCTTTAGATGGGTGGCATGCTATGTTGTTGTGTAAGGCTATAAGTATGCACTGCACCTTCTCTCCATGACCCAGGTGTTCATTCTTAACTTCGCTCAGCATTTTCCAGTTGGTCTTTGCTCCGCTGCCCGCTGACCTGATCTCTGTGAGGGATCGGCCGTCCAGCGCATAGCCTCCCTGGTCATACCTATTGTGTGGACATGAAAACACACATGTGCAAATAAATGTATGCTCAAATGCCCTGCACAACAAAAACAAACATGCATGCATTATTTAGAGCGTAAGGATGATTTTCTTGAGTGAAATGAAACAAAAACAGAGCGTGCTCGAGTAACACCTTCAATATTAGTCATCTGTAAACATGTAGAAGTGTATCATATGGCAAAGAAGAGGATGTGAAAGCAAATGTGTGTGTTACACATACCTGGAGGTGTGTTATATAAACAGACTTTCCTGTGAAGGAGATACTGCACTGTATCTTCTATTATCTAAAGAAACTGCCTACAGTCATGCCTGAATAACTCCCTTAATCCTGTAACTGATTTACAGCGTCAGTATCCTGCAATCTATGTCATCTGACACATGGCTGTCTATCATGGACAAAGGCATTATTCTTCATTTGAGTCCCTAAACCCCGTTTCTTTAATGAGGCAGAAAGAAAAATAATGCTCGTCTTTCTTTCTTTCTACTCCATCTATAAATGTATCTACCTTTTTAATATTCCCTTTAAAATCCTATTACATCAGGGTGATTCCTGCTCTGTATTCTAGTGGAGCAGAACAATCTAATCAAGGCATCATCCAAATGCATCAGTTTCCTTCAATTATGAAAGCAAGCCTGGTCAAAACAATCTCTCAAAGCAACACGCCGCCACAGGAACAGGAGTCAGTCAGATACTCTTTGTCTTCGCAAAGTGCAGACCTACATGATATAAAAGGAGTGAAAAAACTCCTTGTTCCTTGAAAAACATTCAATGTCATTCCTAAACCGATGTCAGCATGTAAACTGGAGAGAGGAGCAAACAGCAGCAGAGAGATGGGGGGGACTTTTTGGGGGTGTTTTTTTTAGCCCTTTGAATATAAAGATGTATTGACCAAAGACTAATAGAACTCAGGTTGAAGCTCCAGCAATGGAACATGCCCTCTCTCAAACACACACACTGAATTACTGCTATAAATAATGCAGCACACACTTACACACAAATGGCTTTTGTTCAAGCAGTTAGCTTACTTTTCAAACCAGTCACTGACAACTGAAAGAATGAACATAATAGTGCCCACAGGAACCAACCAACCTAAACTTTTATTTATAGCATGCAGACGCTGCGAGTCCTTGACGCAGTTCCATCCAAGAATAGCTTTAAGTGTAACGCACAAGCCGGCACATGCACACTAGGCATTGAAATGTACATACACGCAACAGGAAAAGATAAAAGGAGAATAAATGCATTTATATTTCAGCGGTGGCCAGGCTTGGGAACAGCCTTAATGAGTGAATGAGTCATCATTTCAAATCCCTGCACAGGAACTTGGGAAAAACTGACATATATATTTGTTGGGATATAAAGAGGAATTTCAACCAGATGAAGACAAAGTTATATATTTAAAAACATCCCCCTCTCTGTAGCCATAACACATCCATACAACCAATGTGTCTGTATGCAAATGTGTTCCTTTTTGCAATGAAATCTCACTTTTCTCCCTTTTGTTTCCTGTTCCTCTCTCAATTTCATGTTGTGGTCTCAGTGGCCCACTTTGGTTGTTTGATAAACTGATCAAGAATTATCGTGTTTAGTTGTTGGTTGTGAAAGCGGAGACTGGATGTCACTAACTGGCAACTTAGTCGGAGAAAACTATATTCTATTTGTCAGTGGTTAGGGCTCAGAAGAGGACTTTCCTGCGATATGGTTATGCACATGCAAACATCCCAGTCACTGCTGTAACTCTATATTGTGCAGCCCTAGTGTTTACTTTTTAATATATCTCACATACAGTACATAAACATGAGCAAACAATCAACATTTGGTGTCCTTTGTCTACATGTAACCTGTCTTGTGTGGTGCTTGTGGTTGGATGTCCGTGGACAATTGTGTTTGTGTTTATGATTATGTTGGTGAGTGAGTGTCGGTGAGTGAGTGAACAGCAGTGTGACTCACCAGGCCCGCAGACTAAAAGCCTCGGGTAAGTCTGGGTTGACCATGACTGTTGAACTGTACAACGCCGAGACAGATCTGCCCCCAAAATCAGACAGCCGAGCGCCTTTGACGGCCACCACAGGGTTTACAGAGCTGTCAAACTTCTCCGCCTGCAGAAAGAACAAGCTGTGTCAGACAGTAATTGAGGGGAGAAAGATTTAGAACAAGAGAAGACTAAATAAGTTGTTTTTTTTGTTTCTTGTATGTACAGTCTGTTCCTGCAGCTTGCAGAGGGCACAAAGTAATATGTGGTATAGTTTGCTTTTATAATTGGACAACCTACAAGTCATTTGAAAGTCATTTTTTGGATTTTGGCAAAGAGGAGGGATTAGCTCTTGCAGATTGAATGAGCTTAGAGAAGAATAGTGCCATTTCATGCACATTCGAGAGTTATTTAGCCTTCAGCTCAAATCAGGGCCTCTGGTTCAAAACACTCCTGAAGGTCAGGAGAACGATTTGACCAATCCAAATTTTACAGCCCAGAAAGCCCACCCGCCTCGGTTCGCCAGAGCACACACAGATAACGTGCATAGATGGATGGGCACCTTCATAAAACACACGATTAATTACAGCCTGCTAAACAAGTTTTTATGATAAACCTCAAATCCATCCCTGAATGCAGACAGAGAGCAAGGAAAGAGATTATAGTTATTACCTCCTCTCCCCACAGTGTGAGTGTCACTACATTGCCAGTCGTGTCTATTAGCTGGAGGGCCCTCTTGGAGACTTCTCTGCTGGTCTTTGTGGTGATACGGGATACATCGTCGGCACTCTTGCACACTCCAATTACATCTACAGGCAGAGAGAGTCATTGTATATCTCCATCTATAGATACCTCCAGGTAGACAACAATCCAAAGAGGTAAGAAAGCAATTGTCTGTTATGTGAAAAGAGCCTTTTGAAATGCCTCCACATGGTGTGAAGTGTGAAAATACCCCCTGGATGCACTACATTATATCAAGAGGTATCACATCATGAGCACTAAAGACCCAACACAGCAGAGAGTAGACAGACACCCCTCTGATGTTGCCAGTTGTAACAGACTGACATAAATGTCATAACATGCTGGCTAACACTCAGGACCACAACAAACATGCTCATTCATGTTTCCTGTCATGTTCAGATTACTGCTGAGCGCTGAGAAGGTGAAGAGCAGAGCCTAAAAAGGGCTCAAATTAAGAATTAAACCCAAAGTCAAATTAATTCAAGACGCTCTTGTAGAACAAACGGAGTGTTGAAAAGGTTACTGAGAACAAAGCAAATAAAAAGACTGAATCAATTTCGGAAAAGTATTATGAATTGTTATGAAGGAACACATTTTAATCATATAGCCAAAGGTTAAATAGACTGTGTGTACAAACTGACATCCTATGATTGAATCTTTAGTCTAGAATTGACACGAAAAAAACGTCTTCGATATTTTCAATCGTATGAAAAGAAAAGCAGCCAAAACAACGAAGCTATGAGCGGCAAAGGTTCGTCATTTGACATGATGTAAAACCTAATGGTTAAAAAGATGCAGTCTTTCTTGTAAACAAACAAAGTTACTCTCTAAAATGCTCTGTGTATGTCATTGACCTGACAATATGTTGAATGCCTTTCCTCATTTTAAACCAACATTTGAACAATTTAAAAAAGCTTCTTTTTTATTGCATTGTTTACTTACTTACTACTGCAGTCTTCTTCATTGCCGTCGTTACAGCATTGCAATTTCATTTCCGCCACCTATTGAGTTATGTGTTGTGTTGTGTGTGCACATAACAGGGACCCACATGTAAAAGCATTGCCGAAAGCACTACTAGAGGTGAAATGCTCCACGGGGCCCCTTTAAATGGCAATGATTGAATTAGTGTCAGTTCATTTTCTGTCCATCATCCCATGGTGCCACAACCATGCATTAAATAAAATGACTGGGCCTAATTACAATATAGATTTTGCAAACAAGTCATTCTCTAAACGTCATCCGCCAGACTGCCACTTCTGCTAACCTTTCTCTAAACTCTCCCTCTCCCCCCTCCTCTCTTGCTCCGTGTCTGTGTCTTTTTAGCCCTCGATAATTCCATGATGATTGAGACGATGTCACCCACCTCTGAACTCCATTATCACCACAGGAACAGGCTGACAGTTCTCATTACCATGTTATAATCCCCTATTTAACAAAGGAGCAAGGAGAGCGGTAGTGGGGAGAGAGTGGATGGAGAGACAACAGATGACACACACAGGACGTGTAACGCTGCCCCTCTGCGAACACACTCCAGCAGGTAAACCCTCTCAGTGCATCTAAACAGTGATGCTCCGCTGGCTTACATTGCTCATAGTTTACGCTCATTTAGTGATGCAATATTACTGCTCGGAATGTAAACCTACATGAATAAGTTACAGTATGTGGTTGGCATTTCATAGCCACCATTCATTTCATCTCTAATATGGCATGTTGAATACTTAATTGCAGCCCTATACGATGCAAAGTGAAGTGCAATTTCCCATGTGGGTGTGTGTGATAAAATGAAGAAACTGATGGATGTGGTGAGAAATGCGTCAGAGATTGCTCTTTAAATTCTGCTTCACTATAATACTCACTGGCCATTTAACTTTCACAACTTCTCGAGGCTTCTGTACTTTTCTGCTCAGACTGGAATACGATTAAGTCATTATGTGAGTATTTGAATCAAAATGTGTGTCTATTTCATTTTGTTTAAGCAGCAATTACAAATATTTCTTAAAGCTATCATTATAAAGTTGTTTGGAAGATGTAATGGCTGTTTAATGACACCATCAGCTTTAAATGGGTCCTTATAAACCTGTACTGAAATCAAAATTATACACATTTAAATAATGCCCTACTCAAAAATAAGCCATGTACTTGCATACAGACCAATAGCAGTTTTAAAAAAAGACACTCTTTGCCACAACTACAGAAACATCACTGTGACACCGGGGATAGTGCTCTAATCCTCAGAACAGTTGAGCAGGCGAACACTAGTTTAATCCCGCCATGACCCACACTGCAGTCAACATGCCGTTGTGTCCTTGGGCAAGACACTTCACCCCAAATTGCTCCTGTGGGTATTGTCCACAGTATTGATGTATTGCTATCTAATATATGTAATGTAGAGCGCTAAAATAAACGCAATTAATTATTAATATTAGTATAATACCTGCACATCATCTCATTAATAACAGAGAGCCAATCACACTGTTTTTCTACACATCGGTCGTCTCAATTTACCTGTCACCGAGATAAGACATTTCTCTCAGGCACATAGGGCAGGCATTGCAGTTAACCTTTATAAAAACAGTGAATGGAGCATTATCCTCGTTGTATCTCTACTCTTTCCAATATGTCTGAATTAACCTTCCCTCTGAGCCCATCATAATGGTACAACTGGCACGAGCCTGTCTATTAGCAACACATTTAATCTATCATTTGTAATTGTCTGAATTGATAAGAGTAGATATAGAGATGACCCAGCCGATACCCCAAATGTTCTAATACTGGCAGCCCGACCATCCGTCCTCTGGGTTATAAATTGGGCCGCATGCTTTCTATTTTTCCCTGGTAAAAGTATTTTAGGTTTCTTGGGTTACACAGTTGATGAATCACGCTTCGCACTTCCACTGTTCACAAGGTTTGAAGAGGGAGTGAGTCACCTTCTGAGCCCGAACCACAGACGGCTGATTGGTTGTGACACATATCTATCTTAATCAGTTGATTTAACTGTTTTCGAGACAGGATTGAAAACCATGTGCTTGAGAGAGAGATGTCAAAACAAAAACCTTGATCGGCCACACTTCATTTGCATTTACCGTTCCCTCTAACAGACCTGCTATCTCACTCTTACCTTTTTATCTTTGAGTGGTTGAATGCTAGAAATGTATTCATCAATTCTCATTGATGAAATTCTTCTCTTACCAACAATGGTGTCTGTATCTCTGTTCTCCAGCTCTGCAATGGGCACAAAGTCACAGTTCACTGCGGGAATGCCCTGACTGTCATCACATGGCACGACGGATGAGTCGGCCTGGAGGGTCATCTCGTAGTTGTTCTTCAGTGTGTTGAACTGTTTGTTAGCTACCTTCAGCGTAGCCTTAGTGATGTAGTACACCTACAGAGAAAGGATGAGCAAAGTCATCAAATCAAAGCTGATCAGACTGATTATTTCCTGTGAAGTTAAAGCAGCGTGAACCAATCGATTGGGTAACCACTTTATTGATCCCGCAAGGGAAATGATTATTTTACAAAAGAGCCACGCAAAGATCTTAATAAGAAAGGAAAAACCTTCAGGTCTTACTAAAATGTGGTGTCGTATCAGGCCCATCACTTCTGTAATTCACCAGAAAATAAGCGGCAGCTGAGAGCAAGTCTGCTAAACAGCAACATGTAAAACTCAATATGCGAGGCACACTTCTTCGTTTACCCCCCAACCCTCCAATATTAGGGGGTATATACCCTCTATCTCTCTGCCTCTGATTTTAGCTCTATGACTTGTTTGCTTTCCTTCCCCTCTCTCTCTCTCTGATTTACCCCACACAGAGATGAAGTTAATGTAATAAGCATTCTGGCCACTCAGAGCCAGTCACACCCACTCACTGTTCTGTCAATAATCCGATCACGAAGGGAAGACGGATTCATTCCTTTATTTATCTTTGGAGGGCAGAGGGCACAAATTGGATGTGGGGCTGTTGGGAGTCCCTGTCAGCGGCTGATGCCTGAGCCCGTGTGACGAGCAAAACGATGGTCGGGGTTAATTGAGTTATTAAGCTCTGTGGACACACGGAGTTGAGCAAGAGCTTTAACATGTGTTCTACCTGTTGTTCATTTCCAAATGGCATGTTCAGGGTGAGCACCGCCCATTTTAACAGCACGCACTGGAAAGGCCATTGTTTCTTGCATGAACAATAGCCTGAGACCATTGCCAACGCCTTATTGAGGAACAAAGGTGATATATCTCCTTGTTTGCCCTCCTCGAAGTATACCTCTTCTGACATTTTAATAATAATAATACATTTTATTATTAGGCGCCTTTCATGACACCCAAGGACACCGTACAATTTGTTAAAAAAGAAAGAAAACGCTAATAGGCAACAGAACAGGATAAAAACACAAACAGGAAATCATGGAGGAGACAGTCAAGTGGACACAGATGGAACATATAATGGGGAGCACTACAGTGAGTAGGCAGATTTGAACAGGTGGGTTTTTAATTGGGATTTGAATATGGTGATTGTGTCTGACTGTCGGATGTGCGGGGGGAGGGAGTTCCAGAGTCAGTGCAGCTAAAACGCCCGGCGGGCACCCATGGTGACGAGGCGTGGGGTGGGGACGGTTAGCAGACCAGTAGAGGAGGAGCGGAGGGAGCGAGAGGGGGTGTACTCCTGAAGAAGGTCAGCCAGATAGGGGGGGCCAGGTTATGTAGGGCTTTGTAAGTGAGCACTAGGTTTTTGAAGTTAATACAGGATTGAACCGGGAGCCAGTGGAGTTGGATGAGGATGGGGGTGATGTGTTCTTGGTGCCGGTGAAGATCCGGGCTGCAGAGTTCTGTATGATTTGTAGTTTATTGATGAGCTTGGTGGGAATGCCTGAGAGGATGGCGTTACAGTAGTCGATGCGGGACGTGACAAATGCATTGACCAGGACTTCAGTGTTTTGATTGAGAAAGGGATGGGCGGAGTCTGGAGATGTTGCGTATGTGGAAGAAGGCAGTCCGGGTGATGTTATTTATGTGAGGTGAAAATGAGAGGGAGCTGTCCAGGATGACACCAAGGCTCTTAACTTGGCCAGAGACGGGGATGGAGTAGCCATCAATGATGAGGTTGGAGGCAGGGGAGGATGAGGTTTTGGAGAGGGTGGCTTTGGTGCCGTTACATTTGACTCTTTATCCCTTTTTTATTAATGCAAGCCTTGTGTTTTTTGTACGCAATATTCTGGTATACTGTGAACATGACTTCAAACTTCAAAGACCTGAAGGCACACGTTTCATTTAAGGGCAGCACTTATACATTTTATTGTTAAAAGGAATTCTTAAATGTGAATTATTTCTTAAAATGTGTTAGTATTTTAGGGATCCTACTATACAACATAACATTATTGTGTAGTTGTTTTTGCAGGCCTCCAGCATCATTGTCAGTTGCATAACCTTAGCTGGAGCTGGACAGTAAAGCAGATCCTCGCTGACACAGGGTCTTGAATCCGGACCCTCGGGATGAAAGATGATCCTATTAACAAATGCTATCTCCAAGTTCTTTCTGAGAAATGACTGTGCGACGAGATTAAAATAATGATAATGTTTCATTGATTTTGATCCTAGTCCATATGATAAATACTAGAAGAATCCCAAAGGATTTTTTTAATTATTTTATAAAGCCATAGCTTATCTGAAGATCTTGTGTTGTTAGGCTTTCAATAAATCCAAATATATATTACAACAGTCATTTGAAATCAAATAAAAAAGTGAGTATTCAAATATGTGGGCCTTTGAATAAAAAAGAAGCCTGAGCAAATGTTTCGAAGATTTTTGTTGGTAGCTGTAATTCTTCTTCTCTTTACTTGCTGTAAGTACCGTGACTACAGTCTAAGAGGATTGCAAGTCTGACAATGAAGTAGATGGAGATGATGTGCCGAAATGTGTTGTAATCATCAAGGAAGTAAAAGTGCCAGGACACAACATTGGCAATAAATCACCATGTGACTACCAGGATTAAGACACCGATATGAAAAAATGTAAACTGTGCATTTCTTCGCCCCATTGTTTCCAGTGTTTAAAGTGATTGCTTCGCTTCTAATATGTAGAGAAGGAGTGAGCATATTGACGCAAAATAATAATGATCTCTGTATCGATTACTAATGCTGGAATAGAAACTTTATAAACACGTCCTCCATGGAGAACACAGGCTGATGGACTGGTAGCCATTTCAATACATTGGTGATAGATGTAATATCAGCAAACAAAACAATATCAACACATCAGAAGTTTGTTCCCACTGTTCTCAGCATACTCCTGGCCTCATATATCTTCCCAAATGCTGTAAATGTCTCAAATATATAGCATATATTTCAGTAAACTACGACATAATAAATCCCTTCCGCAAAATCCTCTAATACTTGCCTCCGGCTCATTCATTGGTCAGAAGTCCTGAAGGCATTAAAGGATTTTGCAGAAGGGTTTGTTAGGCACTCTTTTACCTATGATATATTAGTTTGAGGCGTTATCCGCATAAAATATGGATAACTGAGCTTAGAAGCTTACTCTGCAAGTTGTTTGTGGATTTTTACAGCCTTTAGATATTGTCTTAATGTTGTCCACTTCATCAAAGAAATGAAATGGCTGCGATGCTTCAAAGTTCCTTCTGAAACAATGCAAATACAAACATTTCTTTCCAGCGTTCGAAGCTGGAATAATAATGTGTAACAAAAGAACTAAAGTTTATTTAAGGGAAGAAACTCTTATCACTTCTAGTAAGGATGGGTGTGGGTGAGGGGGGGTCTGCTCACCTTGCCTTGCTCCACTAGTGAGAAAAACTTGTCCACTTCTTTGTTGAACGCTGTGACCTTGATTTCTCCCTGTTGAGCAGCACATTTCCATCAAACAACATTTCGTTACATGGATAAAACCAAAAACAGCCATGTGTGACATGACATGTGTTTGACATGCAGGCCTCTCCACTCGTCTACTCGTGATGATATTGGTGATGTTGTTAATGTTGTTAATGATGTCAGGACTTATGTCTTGAATGTTGTTGTATTATTGTTGCATTGTTTTAAGTGTCGGACCCCAGGAAGAGTAGCTTTCGTCAAGAGCAAAAGCTACTGGGGATCCTTAAAAAACATAAACATACTCACACTCTCGTCCAGTACTTCAAAGGAGAAAAGCCTTCCGTCTCCTCGAGAGTTACTCCAGGTGCGGATGCTGGACTTGTTGGTGACTCGGACTCTGATAGTCCATCTAAGAATACACACAGAGCGTATCATAATGAATCAGAGCTTCCAAAGCATATGTCAACAACATAAGGTAAATCACGCAATGTGCAATAAGTGATGTTGACGGAACTTAGCCCAAATGGCCTTGGTAAAAACATTGAAGAAGACATTTGTTGCATACGTTTTTTTCAAATATTTGACCTGCAGGATGAACGAGAATGCCTTTAAATCACATTTATTTTATGGGTATTCACGATATTACACGTAACTATTAAAAAAATGAATTATGTTCTTCAACTTACGGTAATTAAAAGTGTAGAACTTTTCAGGTCAAACCAAACAGTGAAGAACGTTGCAGAGACAATATTAAAAGCTTCTTTTTTTGTTAATGAGCATCACAGCTCTTACATAAGGAAACTGGATGAGTGTCTCCTTTTTTTTTTTTCAAAGTTTCATAAAAGAAAAGAAGAAAAAAGACACCCAGCAACTTTCTTTTCAAAGAGTGAACTAGGTGTTCATCTGCCAACTCCGGGATGCATTTCAAATATGCCTCTTGTTCTGTTTTTAACAACAGCCAGCCTAGCTCGGCAGTTTATGCAGCAGTGAGCTTTTTGACTGCGTTGATAATTGTGCAGTTGAGGATATTCATACCATAACTTTGCCTGCAATTAAATCCCCTATCATGAGAGCAGCTGCTGGCCCAGAGTGAACCTCATTCCCTGCTCAGTATGGATAAGACTGCTACACCAAGGTTTATGGCAGCCAAAAGCCAATTATACTCTGCTCTAGATGCTATTACTTAACAGCGGCAGAACGGGATGAGAAAGCTTTGCAAATGGCCATATAAGACCATGTACACAAACACAGCTTGCCACACACCCGTGCCTTTCTTTTCACGCTAACATACGTAGCAGAACACAGCTGCTGAAGTAATCGGTTTTTCTCACTGTAGGTACTCCCCAACTTCAAAGTTAGAACAGTCATCAGTTTGTTACAACACCTAGAGGCACAGTTAACTTTACAGCTTGCAATTTCAAACTGGGCTACAATATCAGAGTTCATACATGAGAGAGAGCTGACAGGATACCTTTAGTTCAATCTGGGTAAATACATCTCGCTATACGGTTCCCTTGTCTTTTGTGGCCAATTTGAAGGCGAGAGACTTAAGCTAAATGAAAAGATAAGAAGCAAGACGGGACGGGACGGGGGGGGTAAGCAGTAAAATTAAACCCCGGAGGAAGTAAAGAAATTGTGAGAATAGAAGGGAGGGGGGAAAAAAACGAGGTTGGCCAAATCCCCACCAGGGCAAATAGCAGAATCAAAACCTCAGCAGCAGACAATAAAGACCCAGCAGCACCTGCCGTTAAAGTCTACCTTTCTGAGGAAAGATTGGTCATTTCATTTCCATGCAGATGGGCTGAGTGCCCACGCAAAATCCATACACACATACACACACACACAAGCATATAGGCATTGGTAAAGAACAACTGAATGCTCACGCAGGCATAGAGATACACATTTTAAAACATGCCCCAAAGTGATTCTCTGAAATAGCAGCAAACAGGAAAGTAAAGGAAAGAGCATGAGAGGAAATTGTTATAACGAGTAAAAGGAAAAAAACATTGTTTACCTAGAATCTTGGAGGAAATGCATACAAGTCAGCTTCCTCACAAAGTTAAGTTTTGTTTAAAGGGGACCTATTATGCAAAATCCACTTGTTCACGTCTTTTATACATGAACATGTGTCCCCTCTGTGTAAATAGACTCTGAAAGTTCCAGGAAAAAAGATTTGCTCACTTTTTGTCTTCTTGATCCATTTATATAAAAACCTGTCTGAAAATGAGCTGATCAGATTTTGGCCACTTTATGATGTCATAACGATTTTTTGGCTTGTGGAACCATTAGCCAATTTTAAAACTACTGTACATGTACTGTATGTGAAAACGGGCACATTTAGAAATGGACACACACTTCAACTTACTTGCTTTGGTAAGGGTTGAGGCATTCTATTGGAATCACTTTTGTTGAAGAACCTAGAGAAGTGCTGCCACCCTTTGTGGGTGTAAACTTCTGAGGGGAAGTTTCCATTGGTGAAGCTTTCATTGGTGAAAACTTGGAGGTTGAAGCCTTCATGGGTGATGCCTTCATGGGTGATGCCTTCATGGGTGATGCCTTCATGGGTGATGCCTTCATGGGTGATGCCTTCATGGGGGACTTTCCCACAAAACCACTTCCCTGTCCTCGTGGAGGAGAATGGTCTGCAGGGAAACAAAGATAGATCGTTCCTGAATATTTGTACTCCAAATGTACAAGATGAAAATCAAATAGTGATTAAAGATTAATACATTTATTGAGCAATTACACTTTTCAAAGCTTAAAAAAATAAAAATCTAAATGTGGAGCCTACGTGGCCCACAATGCAGACATGCTCAATCTGAAGCTGCTTTCCCAAAATATCATCACTTTCTTCAACTTTTGGTACGTTCTGCAGCTGCCCTAACAAAGTGTGTAATGCTGTGTACAGTATGTATATCATTGGGAAATACTTCTTTATCCAAATAAGGCACCTTTGACGTTGACTCTCTTGCTCACATATCTACTGTAATGCAAATTGTGACCAGATGCACTTGTACATCCAGGTATTTCAACAAATTGCATAGAACATACTGTGTTCTTACTAAATCTCTTTTTTTGGGGAGTTCTTGAGTTGCTAAATAACCTCCAAGCACATGCAAAAGTTTTCATGCACAGTAGATGAGGTTAACCACTTAATTTGATGATAAGGGTACGTAACTGGTAGAACACCTACTGGATTTTCCAAGAGGCAATGTGGAATTAATGAAACACTCTAAAAATATATTTTTGCGATTATAAAACATTAGTGGTTGTACTGTTATCTGATCATTTGAGCGGCAGCCAAATGATAAACTGCCTGAGAAAATTAAACTCTCCGCACAGATCTCCCTGTAGAGTTACTAACTTGTAAAGTTTGTGCCAATGAATGAAACCGATTTTCTTTTAGGGTAATACTGCCCATCGATTATTAAATGTTTTAATTACTTTACCTACAGTATGCCTTTTGGTCATTGGAAAAATAATAATGAAATATCCGAATATCAGTACTGACATCAAATATACATTTCTAAGTACATCATTCCTAACCACATTCACGAGTCTGTGTCAGAGTAAAACAAAACCTTTAGAGGGTATTATACTTATATAAAGGTCAAATGAATGTTTTAAATAGGCAGTAATGTCTTTAGCAGTATGAATAAATGAGGAAGCCTTCACTTGTATACATAAAAATACAAGTAATATCTAATCAATAAAACTCAAAATGTTACAGTATGCTGTTACAATGAATTAGTAGGTTGATAATGTTTTTCAAGATTAGCTAGGTGTGCACTAAATCCACCTTACTTTGACCCAATATAAAAAAAAATCACAGACAAAAGACCAACACAACTACAAAAGCAAAGTGAAGAAAAAGTTCCCATTGTTTTCTAAATAGATCATCTTTTATATGTATTTAAAAAATGACAATGCCAGCAAACTTGAACAGCTCCGACCGCCCTACAGAATTGCAAGGTGTTATTCTCGCCTCCCACAATAGCGTTGAATCAGCCCCATCAGCAGTGACTCAGGCTAGATAGTTGGCTGTTGTCAAATTACATTTTGCTCAATTTCTCATTTTTGGCTTGAAAGGCGTGTCATATTGAGGAACAGTATTTGAGGGGAAGAATTGTCAGGGATAAAAAGGCGCAATTCCACAGAGACCACTCCGCTGATATAAGCTCCTGTTCTGGAGCATAACAGCAACTCACCTCGATGATATGTGTGTGTGTGTGTGTGTGTGTGTGTGTGTGTGTGTGTGTGTGTGTGTTTCATGTATCCTTGGGGGAATCACAGATTGAACAGCTATTTTCAGGCGAGGGGTAATTAACATCAATATTCATACACACGCCATTCGGATGGAGTGTTTAAAGGAAAGAGGCATGTAGTGAAAGAAGAGACGAGGTGATGATAGGCGAGGACGGGAGAAGAACAGTGCAAAGAGCGGGGCACAGAGATTGATCAAGAATCCTCATTTTTGGTGATTAAGATGAGTACAGAGTCCTAATATGTCGGCCACTAACGTATTCAACGCCCCCCGTTTGAGGAGAGTGCTTGATGGTGAGGATACAACAGGAGCAGAGAAAATTAAAAATATGTAGACAAGGAAAAGGCCATAAATAGAGAAAGTGAATAAGAAAGCGAGAGCGTGTTCAGAGAATAAGTGGCAAAGTGTGAAGAGTTGTGAGGACAAAAGAAACCTGCAGATAATAGTTAGTAATGAATAATGAATCATTTTTTAACTGCACTTCAGCGAGTGCAGATCTCTTTTTAGAATTTAAATATCATCTGCAAAGCAGTTTTAAGGGGCTCTATTTCAGGGGTTGCTGCTGATGAATATTTAAATGGGAACACAGAGACGTCAGTGACGACTGTGTCATGACCTTTGGCTCCACACCTAGTGCTTACAGACTAGTTTGTTTTAAAACAATACAGAATATTCATATTGGTAATATTTTTGTATTTAAGGCAGAACAATGTCACTTATGACTGACAGAGATTACAAGTCATCCATACATTAATAATAAATGCTGAAAATATTTGAAATGATTCCATCAAAGTCTGCTGACATCAGGGGAAAATCCTCTCAGTCCGTGCTGCCAGAGGTCAGGCTTCCCTGCAGATCAGAGCCCCCGTGGCTGATAGGGCGGGCTTTACATTCAGCTAATTACGCGTTCTCCTCTGGACCGTGATCTGGATATTGATCAAGTTCATCATTAAGGATGATATGTCTCAGAAAGGACAAGAAGGAAGGAACCAAAGGTGTATCCTAGGTGGAAGTATTTTTAAAGGCACAGCAACACCATTAAGTCAGAACCTGTTCGTGCTTGATCGGCTGATCTGATTGGACAGTACAAGAGCAGACAGTGGACAGTTGTAGAAACAGCTATATTGTAAGACTTAGTAATATTATTGAATAATTGTAATACTGTCCCGTACATTGAACATTTTTCATGTTTATGCTAAATGATTATCCGTGTTTATTCTGAATCACATAATTAAATCCTAACAAACTGCTCCAACTGGCTCATTCAGGCACAATGTTTATCCTAAAGAGATTCACAGATTATTTGTATAAGTCTGTTAAATCTAGCTTGAGCCTGCTTAGGATAGACACACCGTCACGGAATAATGTTTTACATGATTGGGCTCTATGGCTTGTTATATTATTTTAGTAATCACCACATGTATTTGTGTATTTATGTTCATTTTACAATGCTCTAATGCAGCAATAGATCTGTAATTGCTGTTGAGGCATCAGGCAGATGATGTGCGTCATGAGGGGTAACCATCTCTTAAAATCCACATCCTTTAGTTAAAACCATTCCTCCATCTTTGCAACTCTGCTTCCTTCTCTCTCACATTCCCTGTTGGGAGGAGCTGAAGGACTGTGAAGAGGCTTGAACCCCGACTCTGATAAAAACAGGACCCAGTCTTAACACTCAGAGCTCATTGGAAACAAATCATGTGTGGCACTTGCATAATATTTTAACGGCACACAAATGTATCGCATTGCTATTAACAAAAACAAAGTAATTAAACACATTCAGCAGGAGATACGACTTACTAGTGAGACATTATGCATTAGGCTTGTTTTTGGCTGTAGAAAAGAATGCAGGAGTGTTTCATCAACAGAACAATTAAATAGAGCAGCCAGTTTGATGTATTTGGCGCGATCTCTGAGGTAACACGATTCAAAGGATCTAACGAGGAAGTTTGATGAACTACTTAATGCAAAGCCTCATCTTTGCTCAGGCAAATTAGTTGACTTTCTCTCTCCCCCTCTCCCCCTCTCCCCCTCCGTCTGCCTGTGCATCGCTATGAGGGGAATTCAGTCCACAAAACAATATTCATGAAGCCATGAACTGGAGGAGCCATCGGCCCACACATCTCCCTCAGCCACAACACACACATTTACACACATGTGCAGACAAACACCTACAAAGGAACAATATATACCGAGCACTCATTATCCACCCACATGCCTACATCCTCCACTGAGGAGGACTATTGGGTATGTTTCTGCCACACAACAAAATCAATGCGGATGTTGAGAGCAGCTGGTGGTAGAAAGCAAGTGAGTGAAACAAAGACTCGGCTAACAAAAGAGCACCCAATAAAACACAGGCTACATGATACATGGCACCAGCCGTTTTGGCAGAACACCAACCATCATTTTGAGTTCCCATTCTGTTGTAAAAAGCTGACTGGTGGTAAAACAGTCAAAGGTGTGAGTTATTGTCTCCACCAGCTGCAGAGGCCAGTGGATAAGATAGTTTCCTGCTCTGATAGGTGAGCAATAAATAAGTGCAAAGTGTGATATGAAAATAGAGCAAAGGAGCCGCAGTCTTCCATTACATTGACGTTTGCTGTTGCTACCTCCACCTGGTTGAATACCATGCTGTGCTTTGTGATCCGGTTTCATCTTGTTCTTAACTGACGCTCAGTCTACTGAATTTGAACACTGAAGTTCTATGAGTTTCAAAAGAATGATGCCAGGATGATATTTTTAGTCTATATTCCCGGTTAAAGTTTGGTATGGTAAATGCGATTGAAAAACAAAGACTTTGTTTGTGTTGAGGAAATCAACTGCAAATCTATCATCAGCACTATTCTTTCCAAGGGTACATGGCTCCCTCTGTTGGTCACTTGAGAGGTTGAGTATTGAGATTTTCTATAAAATAATAGCCAAACGAACAACAATCTCATCAATCCTAAAATATCCTGTTATTGTGCAACTCTCATTCAATAACTCCATATTCACAGTGCAACGGAGATGAATAATGACTGTCTTAAATAAGAAAAATCAACTAAATATGTTGAGATCTGAGAAATGTAATAATTGATTGTCTAAAAAGAAGAACATTTTATTCCTAAACGATGGTGAATAAGTTATACATTGAAAACTACACATTCAAAGTAAATGTCAATCAAGAATTCCTTCTGCATGATTTCAGAACAAATCATTTATTCTGTGACTTCTTGTGAACAAAACTGTATTCACCTCAATCACAGCCCTTATGCTCAGTGCTTCTAACTCAGCTAAATGAATAAATTAGAACTTGTTTACATCAGTAGGGTATTTAATGACTGTAATCTGTGTCGCAAATGAGTAGTATCAATCTAAATGACATGTAATATCACAAACAGAGGGCCTCTGGAGGCATTGTTTTGTTGTGTTTGAGAAAGATTTATTCTAAAGTCTCTGCCTTTCAAGCAGTGGCTCGGAAAAGCAACCCATATATTTTTGGTACTGTCAATACTTTACTGGCTTCAAAACACTAAACTACACGATAGCTTTAAATAGTACACTCACTGCTTTTGTTCCATTTAGAGGGTCCAGGTTCTGCTGCAGATGGAGGGGAGGCCGGGACAGAGGTGCTGGAGACAGACTCCTGTGAAGATGACGTCTTAACTGCAAGTTCAAAAACACCATAAGGAACATGAAAGCCATTTTTAATGGATCCTGACTTCATGAATGTGCATTTAAAAAAAGTCATACCAACTGTTTCATATGGAGTGGGATCTCCAATCTTCCCTCCAGTTTCTTCGGCAGACTGCAACATCTCCATGTCCAACAAAATCACCACAGACCTGGAAGTTCAAATATGTCTAAATTAAGGGCAAGAACCAAATAAATATAGAAAAGGATTCATCGAGGAAATGCAAATGAAAACACATACCTTCCATCTGCCAATTTATTGTTGATGGACTTCTTCAACAGAAACACACTGTTAGGTACCAGGTTGTCTTCTGTCAGATTGTTTAACTGTGTAGCCAGTAGGAAGGCTACATTCAAAACACATACAAACATATTCATGTTCATTCCAAAAAAGATGACTCAACTGATTTATCCATAACTGGTTCTAGATGATCTCCTTAGGCATGATTTTCTTCAAAAAGAGACCGTATCCAATTCAAAACTAATTCTTGCTTAATAATGAATGACATTACAACTTGCTACCAACATTTCAAACCCACAGTCACAGACTTGGCAACTACAAGATACTCACAAGACCAAGTGTGCTGACCATCACTCATCCTTAGCCGGTACCTGGGTGGAGAGCCAGTACACACCTGACGGATGTTCTGACAAACACAAATGGAAAGCAGGATTTTATAAGTACAAAAAACAAGGCTCAACATTATCACACTCATTTGACAGTAACATTAAAAATCCAACTGCCCTGTGTACATAGTACAGTAAACAAAATATAAACATTAATAATAATCTTCATATAAGCATGGCTGTATTTACTGTATAGAGACAGCACAGACATTAGAGGCAATGCGGAGAGTGAGAGTTTACTTACAAGTATCTGCAGCACGGCATTGTTCACCTCTGAGCCTTTTACCAGGTCCTAGACAACAACAAACATGGTTAGTATCTGTCTGCTGCCTGGCCCAATCCTGTCCCATGTCACATATACTACCAAAATTACAGTAAAACATGCATAAGAGATTAATGAAGTGGCAAATACATGTACCGCCCCTAGAAGGTAAGCGTCAACAACATGGACACCAAATGTTTAGGAATAATTGGTTAAATAGTGAGATTTGAGTCACAACACATAAATAAAGCGTTGTTTTTGCGTCAATATTTGAATACATGAGGCAAGCTTGTATTTATTTAACACCATTAACACAGAAAACTTGCTTTAAATAACATAAAACGTTTCACAATGTGGTAGGTTAATGTTAATGTTGCTTTATATTCAGCTGTCAAAACAAAATCTCATTAGCTGACAGTGCTAACGGCTGCAGAAAAACGACGGCTCGAAGCTAGTATTACTATTTCAAGTCAATAAAATAAACAGTGTATTATATTAACATCTACGCTTACTTCAACTGCCCCCTTTGTGAGTGTTACACTCATTTCCCCAGGTAATGTGCTTCACAAAGCCAGCAGACTTTAAATTGTGTTGTGCGTAGCCAGGTAAAAAAGATGGTAATCTATCGCGAGAGAAGAGAAACAGACGATATTTGCAACACGGATTTTTTCGGATATTGAACATTTATGATTTCAAAATAAAGTACAGTCGGTCAGGAATTATGAAACGCAACTAACATTTTTAAAAACACGTAAGGTTAATTAACATGAACAAAAAAGTCTGGATATTTTAGACTCAGTATGCAATTATGATATTCATACATTGCAGTTAATCACCATTGTTCCCTTTGGCTTAGATGTTAGGGTATTATTTTGAAGGTTGGGATCGAAAGTTGTCTTCTCATCTACGCTACCTTGACAGTTGTGCTCTGTATGCCGCGATCACGCGTGAAACGAAACTCAAAACAAACCCAGAAGTATCGTCCGGTCAGTGCGCATGTGGTTTATTTGTAGTTCATGATGGATCTTCCATGCATCCAGTGGCAAGATTATGTTGCACAAAAATGGACCTTACTCGAACCCGAGCTAAAGGAAAAGTTTACATCCCTGCTTGAAATAGATGATGTTTTCAAATGTATCCTAACTCTGACAACGTGAGTAGCTAGCTTACTGCTGTAGTTAGCTGCTTGTGGGTTTAAAACGTATAATATGAGACCAACGTTACTAACTAAATTATGGTTCATGAACTATTTAAAAGTACTTTGTATTAAGTATTTGTGAATATAACCTTGTTTTTCAATTGGGCCATTTAACTAAACTTTGCTAATGTACCTTTAGGGTTTAGAACCCAGAAGCTTTAACTCAAGTTTTAACTTAGTAGGCTTCTTGATTTGTAGGCTACTTAGTTTGTCTCCATTTGTGTTTTAAAGCCAGGAGGATCTGGACTTCGTTCAGTCAATCTCTGCAGCATACTCCGTACAGAAGGAGGCACAGAAGGCAGCAACATGCAGGGAGAGGGGAAACTCCAGCTTCAAGATCAGAGACTTCACTGCAGCTGCTCTGCACTATTCACAGGTGAATAACACATTACTCTATTGATCCCTATGTGCCAGAAAATAAAAACACAATACATTGTGTTTATGACAGTCATGGCTGAAGCAATAATATAATGAAAATGTAAATTGAATTTATTTTGAGAACCCCATTGTTTAAATTAATTTGTGAATATATAGCATGACATGTCTAACTGTCAAAATAAACACATATTGACATCCAGTGATCTCCCTCTCGTTATGAAAGGGCATATGTGTTAATCCTCTAAGCTCGGAGCAGCTGTCTCTCTGCTATGCAAACCGCTCTGCTGTTCTCTACCATCTGCAGCACTACCAGGTAAGAAATAATAAGAAAGTGTGGCACTTGCTGTATCATTAAAGCCTGTTTAAACCAGTTCTGCTATATGTGTGATATGTGTGAAAATGGGCCTGGGGAAATCTTACACATTGTGTCACCATTGTGTGATCATCAAACGGTGACACAATCAAAGCTGTTCACACTAAAGTCCATTCATATAGCAGATGCTTTGCAAGAGCATATACATATGTGATTTGAGATTAAAGTGCATTATTTACAAGGCCACCCATGCAATATATATTTGGAGGACAGGCAAGCCATTACATGACATGTGTTCAGGGCATATGTATCTCTATTAAAATGTCCATCATCTTTATATTTTGCTCACAGTTCAATGATTCTTATTATCCCTCAGGATTCCCTTGAAGACATTGACAGAGCTCTAAAGCACGGCTATCCCTCTCAACTTTCACACAAACTAGAGGACCGTCGCACACAATGCCTCAGGCACCTCTCTGTAGATCAAAAGGGAAAAGACAATCCTGCCTCAAAGAATCCTACAGATGGAGGAAAAGGGACATCTGTTGGACCTCTTTCATTTGGGATTTGTCCTCAAGCTGCTATTGGCTTCAGCCCGGAGAAAGGGCGACACCTTGTGGCTGCGGAGAGAATAGCAGCTGGGGAGGTGCTTCTGCATGACAGGCCATACAGCTGTGTCCTCATACCAGGGATGGAGGAGGTACAAGGCAAAGGAGGAAGGCAGGATGCAGAGGGAGGAGTGGAGCACCGGCGCTGTCACAGGTGTTTGACTGAAACTCTGAGTCCTGTGCCGTGTGAGGGCTGCAGCTACACCCGATACTGCTCAACTTCCTGTCAGCGAGACGCCTGGGAGGAACATCACCAGTGGGAGTGTTCATTGGGAGCAGATCTGAGGGTGATGGGCGTGATGTCACAGCTCGCTCTGAGGGTCACACTTAAGGCGGGGTTGAAAAACATCCAAATGGCCAAGGAGCCAATCAGAAACGAGCACACAGAGCCAGAGTCCAGGGATTCAAAGCCTCCCGATCCTTGTGCTTCACATTACGGTGACACTTATCGCAGCGTGTTTCACTTGCAACACCACCTGAATCGCCACAGCCCTTTTGTGCGTTTCCTGAGTGCGATTACCATAGCAACACTGTACCTAAAGCTCAGCAAGGCAGGACCTCCACCTGCATCTTGGGACCTTAGTAGACCCTTACAGGCAAACAGCCATCCCCCAGGCGAGGAGGGAGGTACTGGAGCAGCTTGGAACTCAGAGCTGTGGCTGATGGGAAGTGTAGTCCTGAGGCACATGCTGCAGCTGAGGTGTAACGCTCAGGCAATCACCACGCTGCAAGACACAGGTGAATTGAGTTTTGTCCAAGTGAAAAATCAAGACCTAAAGTCAGACACATTAAAGCAGTTTGTTCACATCTTTAGGTATTCAGATTCTTATTATAGAAGAAAACAAACATTGACTTTTGTGAAGTTAGAACCAGTGGATTGGCCATATGAACTGATTATCTCAACTTTTATCTATTCTTTTCTGGTGGTGGACTCATTTTGCTTTACTTTAATTGTTTCAATGGTACAATCCACAATAGATGTGTGCTCTTTTAATAATAACTTCATCTTCAGCTTTGAATGTTGTCTAATCGTAAATTGACATTTTCTTTCTCGTTCTTGCATCTCACAGGAGCGGAAAACTCACCGGTGCAGTCTAGCAGGGAAATTCGCATTGCGACAGCGATGTTCCCAACTCTCAGTCTTCTGAATCACTCCTGCTGTCCCAACACCAGTCTGGCGTTCAGCACAGGAACACATCTGTCTGCAGACTTCAGTGAGAGTGTAGCTGAGAAGAGAAGCAAAGCAAGCGGAGTCACTGTCACTGTCAGAGCAGCCAAAGATATCTCTCCTGGACAAGAGATCCTGCACTGCTATGGTAGGAAAATGTATTATTCTGCTCCAAAATCATTTTTAGGGTGCTGACCAATTTCATAACATACAAATCTGCATAGAAAAGCAGTACCTTACATAAAGTGTGGATAAAACAATGCTGTTTGATTGTTTTGTTGTAGCTTAAACACTGACATTATACAGCTGAAATGACTGTGCTTTCAGTTGGCAGTGTTATTCTTTAATAGTGTGTTATAACTGGTGCTGTAATAAAGCCCTATCCTCCCTCCCTCAGGTCCCCACAGCAGGAGGATGGCGACCCAAGAACGCCAGTGTCTCCTGCAGGAACAATACTACTTCCTTTGTCAGTGTGAGGCCTGCACGCTGCAGCTGCAGTCAGAGGAAGAGGACGGTTCAGAGGGCAGACTGCAGTGCTCAAGTGTTGGAGGCAATCCACAGTCTGGACTTTTGTGTGGGAAGTGCAAAGGATCTCTCAATGTAGGTATTCGTAAGGGTTTTTGTGGATTTTCTTTCGTGCAATCAAACATGATTAATTGTCTGAGTTTCTCTATCTTTCTAGGGTTCCACCCTTAATCATTTGAATCGCTTTATGATTTTCAGAGAAGCAGCGAGGAGAGAGGAAAAGGATTCATATGTTCCCAGGCATCCTGCGGTCACTGTGTGGCGTTTTCTGAAGTGAACCAGAGGCTGCAGGAAATGAAGCAGGACCTGAAGAAGGCTGTGGACCTCATGGAAAGAGAGAGACCAGGTGATTCTGAAAAACTGAAATGTAAATGTAGATACAGTAATGCATCACTGCCATTCTTCCCTATGTTCTTTTTTACACCTTCATGTTATTCTTCTGCTCCTCCCTCCGTCAGATGAGGCTCTGAGACTGTTGAGGAGGACCCAGAGTCCGTCTGCTCTGAGCCTCGCAGAGACACATCCGTTACAGGGGGAGTTGGAAGATGCTATGGCCAGAGCGTATGCTACCATGGGTGAGAATAATAATGTGTGTGACCTCTGTGGTGAATACACACCTGCTGTTGAACTTTTACAATAACAGAACTCTCTACCGATTGGTTGAGCATCTAAACCTTCTGAAAGTTTGCCACCTGAAAAGTTCTCTCTCTACGTGCACTCTGGGGATTTGTTATATAATTCTGGGCTGGATCTGGCTCAATCAATAAAACATCACATTTTTCAACAGCATGTCATAATTCAATAACAATACCAAACAGTAGGGAAACATACTGAAGATTTAAAGAATAATTCATTTACTTATTATATAATGTACCATTATTATTGGTGCTTTTTCAGGCAGATGCTGTTACACACATATACAAACTGTATCAAGCATTATCATTAATGTTATTTGACCTCCAGCAGTTTATGTGAAATGATTGGCCCTGGCAACTATTTAGCTGTGGAAGGCTCAATTTTTGAGTCAAAGATAACCACTCTGAAAAGGAAATTGTATTTGGTATCCTGGCATACTTGACTAGAAATGTAGTACTGGCCAAGCACACTGATATGTTGATGTTTGAATCAGCTGAATTTCTTAACAGTGTAATGCTTATATTAAATATAAAGGAAAAGCCGAAAAACAATAACGGAATTATCAGACACGCTAAGGTGTCAAATGTGAATATTTTTGAACTTTTGCAACCCTCTTACTGGGTGGTTTATTTTTCCTGTAGGCCATTGGAGTAATGCTGCCTCACACCTTGAGAGAAGTGCCGTAGCTATTGGGAACCAGTACGGAAAGGAGAGCATTGAACTGGGTCGACAACTCTTCAAATTAGCCAAGCTTCACTTCAATGGGTGAGTGAGTTGTGCAGACATAAAGTAAACATT